AAGTCGCAGGGCATGCAAATTACGCAAAAAAACATGACTTATAGGCTGAAAAATATGGTAATTTGCATTCAGTTTTGCAGATAAAGCACTGTTATTGTTTTGTTTTCATTTATTTAACAACCACAAAGTTTACTCAAATAACCTTGCAGAGTTCAGGTACCAGTTGTGTTTGCAACTGCACGAACAACCAGACCAAACTAAATCAGTGGCCACAACACCAAAGTGTTTTGAACATGATCCCAAAACAAATAAAAACCAAAAAAAAGTGTTCCTGCAAAAAGAGGTATTAAGGAGAATGTAGCTGAAAAATCTGAAATTGAAGAGATCACACAAAACGCTGTATGTGTGTTTATTTTACTTTGTTGACAAACGGCTGACAGAGGAAAACTTGAATCCTACTTCATGGCTGGACTAAAATAAACCTCCGGAGAAGAAACGCTGGATCCTCAGAAGTATTGAAAACATTGTGACAAGAATATCAGGTATGATTTGAAGTGTATGAAGAGCACAGCGTTATAGTATTTGTTCGTCTTTAGTATTACAATTTTCTTTGCAATTAACCCAAGCTCAGTGATGGAGGGCTTTAAGGCTTTGGCTGGGCTCTATGTCTGCTTTAAGGTAAATAAGATTGTGTCCCACCTCTTTTAACAAAACACGACTGACCTTATTACTGTGTAGATACTAACACACCTCAGAGCTTTTCAGGTTGTTCATCGCTCACTGTTCACTGTTGGAAGCAACCGAGTCAATGTAGCTAAGTAAATATGCTAGTACAGTATATGTATTCTGCGGCCACTTTTTCAGGTCATCCTCCCATCCCTCGTATGCAGTAGGTAGTGGTATGATTATATTGCCTTCTTTGAGCTCTGACAGGTGGTGTTCCTACATGTTTAAATTAAATGCACAATGCTCAAAGAAACAGGGTGGATGAGATTCGCCCTGATTTCCTTAAGGCTCTGGATGTTGTGGGGCTGTCTTGGTTGACACACCTTTGCAACATTGTGTGGACATAGGGGGCAGTTACACTGGATTGGCAATCTGGGGTGGTGGTTCCCCTCTTTGGTTAGGATGCCTCCTGGACGCCTCCCTGGTGAGGTACTCCAGACATGTCCCACTGGAAGAAGACCCAGAGGAAGACCCAGGACACGCTGGAGGGACTGTTTCTCGGCTTGCCTGGGAATGCCTTGGGATTCCCCTGGAGGAGCTGGCCTAAATGGCTGGGGAGAGGGAAGTCAGGGCCTTCCTACTTGGGCTGTTACCCCTGTGGCCCGACCCCAGATAAGCGGAAGAAGATGGATGGATGGATGATTGCATGTTGATTTGTCAGATCTTATTCTCCTTATTCCTAGCCCCCATGCTGCCTTGCGTGAATGATGGGTGCAACTGCAAGCGTGGACCAGAACAGGCATTTGTTTATGTGTGAACAGTACAAGCTAATGAAGTTTTTCCAAGCGTCCATCCATTCATTATCTTCCAACTGATCCAATGTTGGGTCGCGGGAGCAGCAGCTTGAGCAGAGAGGCCCAGACATTTCTTTCTACAGCCACCTCTTCCAGCTCTTCTGGGAGGGTCCTCCCAAGGTGTTCCCAAGCCAACCGAGAAATCAAGTCTCTCCAGCATATCCTGGGTCTGGGCACTTTGCCCTTTTCCGGCTCAATAATCAAAAACACAATTAAGTTTAGTATTACAAATGTCAATTAATTTCTGTCTAAAAAAATCCTATTATGCAGTAACTCAGTGTGGGGACTTTCTGATATTTATTAGCACACCATCTTCCTTCTATTGCTACCAGACTGTTGTGGCAAGTATGAAATTTTCTTGAACAAGCTCAGCTTCCTCTCTGACTGAGTATTCAATCAGCAGTCTAAAAGTAATGCACCAGAACTGCTAAATGTCCCTTAATTTGACATGTTGTTGTAGGCTTTTAAATATGACACACACAAAACAACAATCGCGTTGTCCTGAAAATATATTACTGTTTTGTGAAATTAGTTTGCCTCAGATAAACACAACAAAAAGCAGTGGTGCGGGTCTGACACGAGGACTTTACTAACAGGCAAGCACCAGACTACATTGACACATGCAGAGCAGCAGCACCTGAAATGTCATCAGGGGGGGTTTCAAGTCAGAAATACTTCATGTTAACTAAAAATGGGCTTTTTCTGAACACAAAAACTATAAATTTTAAACTGTATGACGATTAGCATCAAGTTGTGGCTGGAATTAGTATTTAATCATGAGTTGCTAAAATCTTGATCAAAAACAACAGAGTTAAGCCACAAAAAAGCAAATATAGATATAGTACAAATGAGATGCATTAAAGACTAACATCAAACAGATTATAGCACTAATGAGCAACTCAAATGCTAAAAACATCAACAGAGCAGACTTACTGCACCCTGATTATGAGGAAAAATGTTCACAAATAAAATGTCACTGCTTGTCAAATCAACAGATTGTGAACATTCTGTGGCTTGAAACAGGACATTTTAGTGTTATTGCTCTCTGTTGCATTTAAAGCAGAGTTAATACACAATGATGACTAAACTGTGAAAAGACTATATTATCTTGCGTATCATCTTATTTCATACGTACAGTCTGCCAGTTTATTGATCCGTCTGCTGTTTTCTGTCATAAACATGATTACATGTGTATTCAAACACATCTGTCTATGTTTGCTAAACTTATCTTTACGAAACCCTTCTGCGTCCATTTCAAGCTCTGTTGCATATCTCCTTTGCTCTGTTTTACTTTTTTGTTTATTTCCCCCTGCCAGTTATCCATTTCTAGTAAACCAGCATGCCTAAAGAAAAATAAATAAATGTAAAAAAAAAATAATCTAATCGTCTGGTGAGCTGGTTAGTTGGCAGGTCGTGTAACCAGAGGAGGAACAACGACATACCTGGGCAATGTTCAGAGTCTAGAGAGCGCATGGTAGAGAGACAGACAAACACGACACACAACCAGAGGACAAAAGAAAGAGAGAAGGTGTAGAAACAAAGAAAGAAAGAGAGGGGGGAAGGGGGTGGGAGAGACAGAGAGAAAGTGGTGACTAAGGAGCTACAGTTCGCTGTCTGTTCAGCACAGTTAGCATCAGCTCAGCCAATTCAAACATACAGATCAGATTTGGAGTTTTTTGGTTCATGGTTCAAATCTAAATAAATATTTATGTGCCGTAACTGTCACGGCTTTGTGTTGAGACTAATCTCTTTGGACACAGCTGTGGAAGCACTCAGTGAGCCGGGCTGAGCTGAAACTGCATGAACCCAACAGGGAATACTGACATAAGTGCAATATAGGACGAGCTTGCAGCATTGCATTACATGACCATACGGTATATGTATGTATGGGTATATGTATGTGTGTGTGTGTGTGTGTGTGTGTGTGTGTGTGTGTGTGTGTGTGTGTGTATGTATATATATATATATATATATATATATATATATAAGATATAAAAAAAAAAAAATTTAAGTTGGGAAATGCAGAGGGCAAACTAATAAAAAAGACAAAAATTAAACTAAGAAACTGGAAAATGTTTTTACACAAATCAAATAATAAATAAATAAAACAAATAATAAACAACAAAAAAATAAAATAACAACAAAAGAAGAAAAAAGGAAGGGTGGGCAAAGGAAACAATAGAATGTCACAGGACAGGAGAGGTGAGTGCAGGGAGAGGGTCTGGTGTGAAGGCAAAGAGTTTGTTTTACCTGTTTGTTGAGTCCTAACATGTTGCAGACCATCTCTCTCGAGTATGGCTGTTCTAGCACATATCGAAGCAGCCCTGTCTGTGGCTCAAACAGATCCTACACACAAAAACACAAAAATAATATCACAGTTTCACATGATAAAAGACGCATGAAGAGGGTAAGAATCTGGAGAGTGAACAAATGTTACTTTGTCATAAGGCAGCATGCCCTTCAGAGGGAATCGGAGCGTCGTGGGGTCCAGTTTCCAGGAGTTACAGATGGCCCCGCTGTTATTCAC